ACAATTATCTTTGACTCCGAAGAGATAAATTGAACTACACTTTCAATGCTAAAATGTTTTTAAAACATAAAATATCCAATGATTTTATTTTCTTTAGGTCAAAGCGACCTACTTTTTGTGTAAGACATACCCAAGATGTATCAGCTGACAAAGATTGATACCTCTAGGTCTAAAAGTATTAATTTTATGAGTCGGACATGGAAAAAGCTTACAGACAAATGAAGAGAGACAGACGGACAAGAAATCTTTAACATAATGAGTCACGTCAAAAGACGTGTATAAAAAGTAAAAACAGAAAAAACAAAAAAAGATATGGGCCTTATGGGTCACCTGAGCATCATGCAAAAACATTTCATTGATTTTTTTTTTATTATGTTTTAAGCCAGGTGATATGGGATTCAACATTTTGAAAGAGGTATCATTGATCATCATTACTATACCCATAGGCAGAGTTGGGGAACAAAAATGCATTTTAACTTATCAATAATAATCAACAGAAATCAGGAGTGCCCCTGCCTTACATGAACCCCTGACCTTTATGCTTCGATCCACACATTGCACAATTTTTGAAAAGGCACCCTTGCCTTTGGAAAAAAAAAATCATTATACCAAGGAGCAGATTTCAAACAATTCATTCATTTTCAGTATATAAGTACAGCCCCCTCTTTGGTACCCCTGGACCTGGGGCCTTGAAATTTACAATTCTGGAAGATTAGGGCCCTTGCTTCTCATAACTATATAGGTACAGTGTAGTTCATCTGCTTAATACACAGGAAGAGAAGATTGATTGATTGATTGATTGATTGTATATTGTTTAACGTCCCTCTTGAAAATTTTTCACTCATATGGAGACGTCACCGATGCCGGTGAAGGGCTTCAAATTTAGACCTATACTCGGCACTCAGGGTCATTGAGCAGTGAGGGTTCTTAATCGTGCCAACCCCTACCGTGACACGGGACCTACGTTTTTAAGGCAGGTCCACACTTTTACGGATCCGGTTTTAATTTTACACACCAATATCAATTTTAATTATCCTTATCTTTTGAAAATAAAATCTCTTTGGATGATTAAAAATAATTTGGCAAGTATATATTTGTTTATTATAGTGTCATTGAGCACAAAAAACATTTAATGTACATTATTTATATAGGAATAACCACTTTGCACTCTGTCCATATGATCTATATGTAATTTAGAACATGCACAAACAGAGAATTCTTTATTGCCTTTATGGACCTAAAGCTTTTTATTTTTTTTTAACAAATTAACTTGAGATCTATTTATCTTTAATTTTTAGCCTATTTGACCATTTTACATTTACTTTTTAATACGTTTTGCGAAGAATGATTGAAAAAATAGATATTCCAAAAATGGGGGTATAGGTGTTCAAAAGGCTGTTTTGTAAAAATTTTCTGGTCAACAATAATAAAGTATGTTTTTTTGCTAACCTAGGATATAATTCGAAATAATTGTGAAGAAAAAATAGCATATAAACATATAAAATTTTGAGAAATATTTAAAATAAAGATATTTTGAGCCTTTTCTCTGAGAGATTTTGACTGAATCAACATCAGTTTTTTAGTGTTTTCAAATAGAAATTTCAAATTTTTTTCTTGAAAAATAAATATTTATGATTTTCACACGTTTTAACAATAATTGGATGCGATTTGGTACATAGCTTAATAAAATATGATGTTACACTTCTATATGTTGAATTTTTGCTGTTGCATTTTTAGAGGTATATACTCCGAGACATGTTGCATGAAAATTAACCTGCAAAGATATGCTTTTTATGGGTGTTTTGGTTAGATTATGACTTATTCAAGATTTTCAAATAAAAAAATAAAGAGTTTGACAGAAAATTCTGAAAGTACGGACCTACCTTAAGGTCATATCCGAAAGACCCGTGACTTTAACTTCTAGTGCCGAGCGCTTGGCGAAGGAACAGTCACTACCTTTGTTTACGTCTTAGGTATAACGCGGCGCCGCGATCGAGAATCGAACCCGGGCCTCCCAATCACGAAGCGAACGCTCATGAAGAGAAGAAGATTTTCAATATATAACCATTAGAGATCCGCCCTAACACCAGAACCTCTGACCCTGGGGGCATTAAATTAACAATTTTGGTAGAAGCACTCTTGCTAATCATAACTATACACTTAGTTTATTTGATACCCAGGAGCAGAGAAGAAGGTTTTCAAAGAATTTGAGCATTTTCACTATTTAATCTTTAAAACCCCACCCAAACCCCAGAGCCCTGGGGCCATAATTTTGGTAGAAGCACCCTTGCTGATCATAAGCATGCACTTAGTTAGTTTATTTAATACCCAGGAGCATAAAAGAAGATTTTAAATAACAAGAGGCCCCTGGGCCTTATAGGTCACCTGAGCATTCTGCAACAACTTTCCAGTTTCGAATTTGATTCATGTTTTAAGCCAGATGCTATATGGCATTCACAATTTTGAAAGTGGCACCATTGATCATCATAACAATACACTGAAGTTGCTTAGCTTGGTTTATTGATTTAAATATGCCCAATAATAAGTTCATAGGATCTTCATGAACATTTCATGTATAAAATTCATGAAAAATTCAAGGAAATCCATGAATTATTCATGATCACCTCGCAGGGGTACTGAATACCCATACCCAAGGTAGGGGAACAAAAATGCATTCCAACTAATCAGTAATATTCAGCAATAATCAGTAGTGCCCCTAACACTGTGAAATAAACCCCTGACCCTAGGTCCACACATTGCACAAATTTTAAAAAGGCACCCTTAAAATTGCCTATCAAAAAATAAATAAATGCTTTATAAATACAAAGGAGCAGATTTCAAACAATTAATTCATTATTATATGAGTAGAGCTCCACTCCACCCCTGACCCTGGGGCCTTGAAATTCAAAATTCTGCAAGATTAGGGCCCTTGCTCATCATAACTATTTAGGTAGTTTATCTTCTTCATACCCAGAGACAGAGAAGAAAATTTTCAAAGATTTAATGTATATTCACTATATAATCAACAGAGCCCACAACCCCCCCCCCCTCCCCACACACACACCAGAACCCCTGACCCTGGGACAATCAAATTCACAATTTTGGTTAAAGCACTCTTGCTCATCATAACTGTGTACCTTATAGTTAGTTTATTTAATACCAAGGAGCAGAGAAGAAGATTTTCAAAGAATTCATGAATTTTTACTCTATAATCAATGGAGCCTCACCCTAACACCAGAACCCCTGACCCTGGGACCATAAAATTCAATTTTAGTAAAAGCACTCTTGCTCATCTTAACTATGCACTTCGTTAGTTTATTTAATGACTAGGAGCAGAGAAGAAGATTTTCAAAGAATTCAAGTATTTTTACAATATAATCTATATAGCACCCCCCCCCCCCTCACAAGAGAAGCTTTGACCCAGGGACCATAAAATTCACAATTTTGGTAGAGGCACTCTTGCTTATCATAACTATATGCACTTAGTTAGTTTATCTAATACCTAGGAGCATAGAAAAAGATTTTCAAAGAATTCGAGTATTTTTACTATATAATCAATAGAGCCCCCCCCCCACCCCCCACCCAACACCAGAACTCTTGACCCTGGGGCCATAAAATTCACAATTTTGGTAGAGGCACTCATGCTTATCATAACTATGCGCTTAGTTACTTTATTTGATATCTAGGAGCAGAGAAGAAGATTTTCAAAGAATTCATGTATTTTTACTATAAAATCTATAAAGCCCCCCCCCTTACCAGAACCCCTGACCCTGGGGCCATAAAATTCACAATTTTGATAGAAGCACTCTTGCTCATCATAACTATGCACTTAGTTAGTTTATTTAATATCCAGGGGCAGAGAAGAAGATTTTCAAAGAAATCATGTATTTTCAATGTACTATATAATCAATAGAGCCCCGCCCAAACACCAGAACCCCTGACCCTGGGGCCATAAAATTCACAATTTTGGTAGAAGCACTCTTGCTCATCATAACTAACTACTTAGTTGGTTTATTTAATACCCAGGAGCAGAGAAGAAGATTTTCAAAGAAATAATGCATTTTCACTACCTACTTATTTAGCCCTGCCCTAGCACTAGAACCCCTGACCCCAGGGCCATGAATTTCACAATTTTGATAGAGGACTCAATGCTGATTACAATCATGCAAACAGTTTGACTGCTTGATGTCCAGGAGTAAAGAAGAAGATTTTTAAAGATTGCATTAATTTTAGTGGTTTTGGCCCCACCCCTCAGGCCCCAGGGGGGCAGGGATCATGAAATTCACAATTTTTGTTCCTCTTCACCCATAGATGCTTTGTGCCAAATTTGGTTGAAATTGGTTCAGTGGGTGCAGAGAAGAAGCTGAAAATGATCAAAAGTTTTTGAACGACGTACGACGTACGACGTACGACGAACGACGACGGACGAAAAGAGATAGCAATAGGTCACCTGAGTTTACTCAGGTGACCTAAAAATAATGCAATTTCACTATATACTTATTTACATGTAACTCCGCCCTAGCACTGGAACCATTGATCCCAGGGCCATGAATTTCAAAAATTTGGTCGAGTACTAAATGCTGATTACAATCATGCAAACAGTTTTACTGCTTGATGTCCAGGAGTAAAGAAGACAATTTTTTTAAGATTGATTATATTTTAGGGGATTTAATTTGACCCCAGCACTTAGGTCCCAGGGGGCAGGGATCATGAAATTCACAATTTTTCACCCATAGATGCTTTGTGCCAAATTATTTGAAATTGATTCAGTGGTTTCAGAGAAGAACCTGGAAATAATTAAATGTGTACGCACAACGCATGATGACGAACACGAAAACAGAGAGCGATGAGTCACCTGATTTTTTTAGGTGACCTTAAAATAGAGATTCTTGAGAAGTGCTCTATTTTCTGTAAAGTTGATGCAAACTGAACATCGCACGAATTTTAATTCCTTAACTTTTGACTAATTATCTCTTTATGCATTTGACTGAGAAGACTACCTTTGTATTTCCAAGTTGTAAAAACAGAACCCTTCTGTTCTTCTTCCTCGCCAATGACATCTTCTTCAAAGTTTTTTGTCATGTCCATTACCAATATGTAGAAAGCCGATGATCTCATGTAAATTTGGTGACATGCATAATATGCAAACTGTCCAGCAAAATCAATCATGCTGACACTAATCTCGTTCTCCTGTGCATCTAATATCTTCTTGATTATTTCCGGGGAAAGTGTTTCAGCAACTGTGTCTTTGGCTTTTGCTGTAGTACTGTGATCCTCTACCTTGACATCAGAGGTGAGGTTAATGCTGCTTTCTTCCGGCCCTATGTTTTCAGTATTCTCCTCAGATATATTGTTTGTGTCATGCAGTTTACAATTATTGCCTGTGTTGTCCTTTTCTTTTTGATCAGAAAGATCGCCTGTGTTGTCTTCTTCTATTCTATCAGCATCTTCATTATTATTGCCATTTTTCTTTGCAAGCAAAGATCTTGGAACTCTTACCAAGAATTTTCGTTCAAGATTCTCTGTAGCTAAAAAGAAATATAAGGATTATATAACGATATGGAGATAACGAACATAATTCAGTCTCAAAGTCCATAAAACAATACAAAAAAGAGCCGAGCAAACACGGACCCCAAACATTCAGAGGTGGGATCTAGTTCCATGAAGGGGTGAGCATCCCCTGCCAACGGGTCTCATACGCCGTGTGCTCTGTTACAACTCGAAATATAATAATAACGCGAAATGTAATAAACCTGGATTATTACATTTTGCGTTATTACATTTTGCGTCAAAATCAACGCAAAATGTAATAACGCAAAATGTTATAATACGATTATTAGATCTTTAAATTTTGCGTTATTAAATTTTGCGTCGAGATCAACGCAAAATGTAACAAAATCCTTTTTCGTTGTTACATTTTGCGTTATTTTATTTTTGCACTGAAGACAACGCAAAATGTAATATACAATATGTAATTAAATGAAACAAAAATTTTTTTTACTGCGTTTAACAAAAAAAAACATAAAATTGATCCAAATATATACATGTAACCAACATGTGAAACATGCTGTTAAAATATTTACAACTAAAACAATGAGACCAACGGAAGGGCTTTTACGGGCACTGTACTTAATTATAGAGAATTAACTTATCTTTGATTGGCATATTTTTGATAGTCTTTTTTAAATTTCTAACCAATAACACATACTGTACTCGTACAGGGAAATTTTCGCCCCCGTTTTATTTTCGCCCCTTTCGCCCTACGATCTTTTGGGCGAATTTAAAACGGGGCGATTTCAAAGAATACAGTAAAATTTCTTAAACAAAACCACGATTGGACAAATTAAAACGGGGCAAAATTGTTTGCAAGTGTGAAAGGGTGAAAATAACCCTGTATACAGTAGTTAACTACCGAAGATTGACTATTGCCATTTTGTTCATTAAAAGCTCTTGATATGCATTTTCGGCACGTATACCTAACAAATGAAAAGAAGTGTATGTGTGTGTCAAGCGAGGGGGGCAGGGAAAGGATGGGGTGTTTACTTCGTATGTTTATTATGGCATTATTGTGGACATGCAGAAACAATCCATTTTATTACAGGATGGAAAGAAAGAGAGAGATAGCATTTTGTTTTTGCTTGTCTGCAATGCTGTAAATTTGCTTAGAACAGTATGGTATCATTATTGTCAATAAACCCCTTCCTGCTATACATTTACACCTTCCAGTACAAATGAAAAAAGTTTTTTTAGATTCATTGCATTTGTCTATAAAAGAAAGCAAAAGAACACTGGTCAATACCCCCAACAACCCTGCCCACAAATCCACGTTTCTAATTTGCAACACCTACATGTATAATTTGAACACATTTCTTCAACTGATTTTAAACACAAGTAGCTAATTCAATAAATCAATATATTATAAAATTTATTATATATATATAATTGTAAGAAATTGCGTATATTTTTTTCATTTTGTTATATTTTCTTTTCATCGACCACTACACTATTAAAAAATTGTATTCAATTTGACTGACGAAAAAATTGTGTTATTACATTTTGCGTTCCTGCCTTTTGCTTAATCTCGACGCAAAATGTAACAACGCAAACTGTAATAATCCCAAATTCGTATTATTACATTTTACGCTATTACATTTTGTGTTGATCTCGACGCAAAATGTAATAACGCGAAATGTAATAATCCTCAAAAGCGTGTTGTTATATTTTGCGTTATTACATTCTGCGTTGATTTCAACGCAAAATGTAATAACGCAAAATGTTATTAATCAGGGTTATTACATTTTGCGTTGTAACAGTGCTCGTTGTCATGATCAGGAAATAACGAGAAAAAAATCTGTCGTCCATACAGTGTATAATTAATGGACTAACAATTGCTATGAAAAACGTAAGTCAGCATTTGACTCTAGTCCATGATAAATTGTATTTGCTGACAAGGTCATTGTATCGACCATAGCAAGTACGAAATGATGATTTTAAACAAGACTGCTAATATTCTTGATTCATCAAGTTGTCAATAATTTACCTCATTCAAGAAATCGTTCCTACGTAGAGCATGCTCTTGGGAATCAAATCAACTGAGATATATATACTTCGTATGCAGGTGATGAAGTTATATTTCTATGTAAAACTTTGATTCCGTATTTTGGCCGCGCCCTACCCCGGGGTCATGATTTGAACAATTTAGAATCTACACAACCCAAGCAATCTTCCACGTAAATTTCAGCTTTCCTGGTCTACTGGTTCGTGGGAATAATTTAAAGACTTCACTCTACTTTTGTCTTTTCTTGATTATCTCCTCTTGTGAAGGGACTTGGTCCTTTATTTTAACATTTTCAAACTTCAATTCAAACCAAAAATGCTTTTTATCAAGTTTGGTTAAAATTGGCCCAGTGAGTAGGAGTCAAACATGTGAAAAGTTAACAAACAGACAGACTTACAGTTGGTTGGACAGACAGCGGACAAAATGTAATCAGATAAGAGGCCCAATTTGGCCACATCGCTCACCTGAGTTACTTGGGTGATGCAGTTCTTTACCAGATTTCCCCTCTTGCTATACCTATACAATCTAATATCTACACTACCCGAAGATGCTTCCACATAAGTTTCAGTTTCCAGGCCCAGTGGTTCTTGAGAAGAAGATTTTTAAAGATTTGTACTTTAATTTGTATTTCTATGTAAATTTTGGATTCCCTAATGTGCCCTAACCTACCCCTGGGCAGTTATGACTTTAACAATTAAATATCTACACTACCTAAGGATGCTTCCACATAAGTTTCAGCTTTCCTGGCCCTGTAGATCTTGAGAGGAATATCTTTAAAGATTAGTTCTATATACATGTATTTCTATGTAAAACTTGGATTCCCTATTGTGGTCCCGCCCTACCTCCGGGGGTATCGTTTTTTGTTTGATTTTTATCCGACTATAAGTTTTCAAAATATTCGCAACTATTGTCGCCATCAATAAGACGCATGTCTTTTCACACATATCGAAGCGGTTTGATGATCAAGACTCAATTTCATTGTTTACTTTATATATTTCCCGTGCGAAAATTGATGGTTACATGAATGTTTTCTTGTTTCAATATTGTTAGAAATAAAGATTGGCATTATGATACATACATGGACTTGAAGTTCTTTCTTCTTTGGTGGCAAGCTTTTTCATTTGTTCCTGCTTAAAGAAAAAAAATCTTTTATAACTTTAATAAATTCAACAGGTTCACCTTGATTCAACAAATTCAGCAAATTCAAGATTCAAAAAAATGTTTCCTGACTTATATGTAGCAATAACATTTCATTTGAATATATTATAAAAAATATAATTTTTTTTTTCTGGAAGTTATTGAAAGAGTAAAGTAGTCTGGCAAAACTAGATATCATTGAGATGGTGTCAATCCCAAGGGCCCCGCTTATATCAATGAACATGAAAATGTAAGGCAGCTGAGAAGAGTTTATTTTTGAGTCTAAAGGGGACAAAAAGTAACTTCTCTCTGAAAAAATAATAAAAACAAAATAACTTTTAAAAATGCCTTTAAAAATCGTTGCATATCCTCTATCAAAATATAGAATGACAATCATAATTGTTTAGTACTTTTAGTTAATTAATAAAATTTGAGGCTGGACTAAAGGGAAAGAAATTATACATAGAACAAAGATTTTCAACAGATAGGCTACACATGTATTTTTGATTTTGACCTAAAACTTCGTTCAAGGACATTGCACATCCATTGACAAATGACACTCTATGAGTGAAGTATGAGCCACATTAGACCAAGGGGAGAGAAGATAAGCCCTGCACAAGAATTTTTTTTATATAATTCTGTTTTGACCTTAACCTTAGACCTAGAAACACTGTTCAAGGTCTCTACAAACCCTTTACGTAAAGGCACTCTGTGGGTGAAGTATGAGCCAGATTGGACCAAGGAGAGAGAAGATATGCTCTGGACAAGAGATCTCGGACGGGCAGACGGACAGAAGGACGAATGGACAGCTAGAGGGTCCGACGGACAGACTGATCACTATAAGACGCCCACCGAGTAGGGCCCTGATGAAATGTAAACAAAAGGGCCATTGGCCACAATGCTCACCTGAGTCACTTTGGCCATGCTGTTCTTCACCAGATTTCCCCCTTGTAATATAGGATTATTGAACTTATATCGGTGAATATTGGCATAAGTTGGCCAGCCAATGAGTGCCAATATTCGCCGATATAAGTTCAACAACTCCTTTATTATATAGCTAAAACATTTCTACATAATTTTTATAAATAATTTCGACTATAAAAATGAATGATTTTTCAGTATTGGTATTCAAGTTAACGTCTGCCCTGTTAGCGTTCAATACCGTGTCTTTCCGATGACCCTACCAAGCGTTGTGATTTGCTTATTTAGGTTTTAATGGGTCTAATACATATTATTTTTAATAAATTATTTTATTTTAGTGTGAAAAATAAACACATCTTACTTAGATATCGATTCTTTTCCTTAATTTAGCCCTGAAAATTTGATCAGACGACTTTTTTGTTTACAACTGGGCGTTTAATATTGAACAGGTCGGAGAGGATTCTTGAAATCAGGTATTATCCTTGAAATTGCGTATAATACCCAATATTAGGGTATTGTTGAATCCACGAAATCGGGTGTTACGTGCAACTTTCTATAAAAATTAAAGAATAAAGCAACGGCGCATTATGCCAGTTACAATTACTTGTACATCAGTATCTTGTGGATTTATTTTTATTAAACCTTATTCATACAGTTGTCAAATAAGTTTAAAATCACACCACGAACACTGCTAGTGTAACAAAGAGGACACAATGGCGTTATTTGTTTTTCAATATAATTTCTAACAAGAGGCGTAGGGGTCATATCGCTTACCTGAGCAAATGGCTAGTAAAAAAACACATATCAGATCAGAACTGAAAGTTTACTGAGGGCAGGGAGGGGGGAGGGGGCTTGAATTTTAACCCCCAGGGTCCTTGATTTGAACAAACTAGAATCTACAATACCTGAGGA